TGAAATGTATTCAGCGCATATGTATAAAGAAAATGGTGCATTGGCCAGGTCGGTCAGTATCGGAAATTAAAATGCAAATGCCAGGGAGAACGGAAAGGCTCAGATCTCGCATAGTACACGGAATCAAGTGGTCTCACTCAAAACGAAAGTAGGAAATATATTCATCTAGTGAACGTAAGGGTTTGAAAGGTAACTAACGCACATGTGTAGAGAAAATGGTGCATCGGCCAGTCTGGCCGGCATTTCGCACTCATAGTGCAGGTGGGGCCAGGGAGAATGGAAACGCTCGTTTCTCAAAAAGTAGAGGGAATCTAACGGTCTCACTCGATCAGAAGGTGGGAAATATATAAATCTAGTCAGCTAAAAAGGTTTGAAATGTATTCAACGCACATGTATAGAGAAAATGGTGCATTGGCCAGGTCGGTCAGTATCAGAACTTCAAATGCAAATGCCAGGGAGAACGGAAGCGCTCAGATCTCGCATAGTACACGGAATCAAGTGGTCTCACTCAAAAAGAAAGTAGGAAATATATTCATCTAGTGAACGTAAGGGTTTGAAAGGTAACTAACGCACATGTGTAGAGAAAATGGTGCATCGGCCAGTCTGGCCGGCATTTCGCACTCATAGTGCAGGTGGGGCCAGGGAGAACGGAAACGCTCGTTTCTCAAAAAGTAGAGGGAATCTAACGGTCTCACTCGATCAGAAGGTGGGAAATATATAAATCTAGTCAGCTAAAAAGGTTTGAAATGTATTCAACGCACATGTATAGAGAAAATGGTGCATTGGCCATGTCGGTCAGTATCGGAACTTCAAATGCAAATGCTAGGGAGAACGAAAGCGCTCAGATCTCGCATCGTACACGGAATCTAGTGGTCTCACTCAAATAGAAGGTAGGAAATAAATTCATCTAGTGAACGTAAGGGTTTGAAAGGTATCTAACGCACATGTGTAGAGAAAATGGTGCATCTGCCAGTCTGGCCGGCATTTCGCACTTATAGTGCAAGTAGGGCCAAGGAGAACGGAAACGCTCATTTCTCAAAAAGTAAAGGGAATCTAGCAGTCTCAATCGATCAGAAGGTGGGAAATATATAAATCTAGTGAGCTTATAAGGTTCAGAAGGAATCTAATGCATATGTATATAGAAAGTGGTGCATTGGCCAGGTCGGTCAGTATGGGAACTTAGAGTGCAAATGCCTGGGAGAACGGAACTGCTCAGATCTCGCATAATACACGGAATCTAGTGGTCTCACTCAAATATAAGGTAGGAAATATATTCATCTAGTGAACGTAATGGTTTGAAAGGTAACTAACGCACATGTGTAGAGAAAATGGTGCATCGGCCAGTCTGGCCGGCATTTCGCACTCATAGTGCAGGTGGGGCCAGGGAGAACGGAAACGCTCGTTTCTCAAGAAGTAGAGGGAATCTAACGGTCTCACTCGATCAGAAGGTGGGAAATATATAAATCTAGTCAGCTAAAAAGGTTTGAAATGTATTCAACGCACATGTATAGAGAAAATGGTGCATTGGCCAGGTCGGTCAGTATCAGAACTTCAAATGCAAATGCCAGGGAGAACGGAAGCGCTCAGATCTCGCATAGTACACGGAATCAAGTGGTCTCACTCAAAAAGAAAGTAGGAAATATTTTCATCTAGTGAACGTAAGGGTTTGAAAGGTAACTAACGCACATGTGTAGAGAAAATGGTGCATCGGCCAGTCTGGCCGGCATTTCGCACTCATAGTGCAGGTGGGGCCAGGGAGAACGGAAACGCTCGTTTCTCAAAAAGTAGAGGGAATCTAACGGTCTCACTCGATCAGAAGGTGGGAAATATATAAATCTAGTCAGCTAAAAAGGTTTGAAATGTATTCAACGCACATGTATAGAGAAAATGGTGCATTGGCCATGTCGGTCAGTATCGGAACTTCAAATGCAAATGCTAGGGAGAACGAAAGCGCTCAGATCTCGCATCGTACACGGAATCTAGTGGTCTCACTCAAATAGAAGGTAGGAAATAAATTCATCTAGTGAACGTAAGGGTTTGAAAGGTATCTAACGCACATGTGTAGAGAAAATGGTGCATCTGCCAGTCTGGCCGGCATTTCGCACTTATAGTGCAAGTAGGGCCAAGGAGAACGGAAACGCTCATTTCTCAAAAAGTAAAGGGAATCTAGCAGTCTCAATCGATCAGAAGGTGGGAAATATATAAATCTAGTGAGCTTATAAGGTTCAGAAGGAATCTAATGCATATGTATATAGAAAGTGGTGCATTGGCCAGGTCGGTCAGTATGGGAACTTAGAGTGCTAATGCCTGGGAGAACGGAACTGCTCAGATCTCGCATAATACACGGAATCTAGTGGTCTCACTCAAATATAAGGTAGGAAATATATTCATCTAGTGAACGTAATGGTTTGAAAGGTAACTAACGCACATGTGTAGAGAAAATGGTGCATCGGCCAGTCTGGCCGGCATTTCGCACTCATAGTGCAGGTGGGGCCAGGGAGAACGGAAACGCTCGTTTCTCAAGAAGTAGAGGGAATCTAACGGTCTCACTCGATCAGAAGGTGGGAAATATATAAATCTAGTCAGCTAAAAAGGTTTGAAATGTATTCAACGCACATGTATAGAGAAAATGGTGCATTGGCCAGGTCGGTCAGTATCGGAACTTCAAATGCAAATGCTAGGGAGAACGAAAGCGTTCAGATCTCGCATCGTACACGGAATCTAGTGGTCTCACTCAAATAGAAGGTAGGAAATAAATTCATCTAGTGAACGTAAGGGTTTGAAAGGTATCTAACGCACATGTGTAGAGAAAATGGTGCATCTGCCAGTCTGGCCGGCATTTCGCACTTATAGTGCAAGTAGGGCCAAGGAGAACGGAAACGCTCATTTCTCAAAAAGTAAAGGGAATCTAGCAGTCTCACTCGATCAGAAGGTGGGAAATATATAAATCTAGTGAGCTTATAAGGTTCAAAAGGAATCTAATGCATATGTATATAGAAAGTGGTGCATTGGCCAGGTCGGTCAGTATGGGAACTTTGAGTGCAAATGCCTGGGAGAACGGAACTGCTCAGATCTCGCATAATACACGGAATCTAGTGGTCTCACTCAAATATAAGGTAGGAAATATATTCATCTAGTGAACGGAATGGTTTGAAAGGTAACTAACACACATGTGTAGAGAAAATGATGCATCGGTTAGTCTGGCCAGCATTTTGCACTCATAGTGCAGGTGGGGCCAGAGAGAACGGAAACGCTCGTTTCTCAAAAAGTAGAGGGAATCTAACGGTCTCACTCGATCAGAAGGTGGGAAATATATAAATCTAGTCAGCTAAAAAGGTTTGAAATGTATTCAACGCACATGTATAGAAAAAATGGTGCATTGGCCAGGTCGGTCAGTATAGGAACTTAGAGTGCAAATGCCTGGGAGAACGGAAGCGCTCAGATCTCGCATAGTACACGGAATCTAGTGGTCTCACCCAAATAGAAGGTAGGAAATAGATTCATCTAGTAAACGTAAGGGTTTGAATGGTAACTAACGCACATGTGTAGAGAAAATGGTGCATCGGCCAGTCTGGCCGGCATTTCGCACTTATAGTGCAAGTAGGGCCAAGGAGAACCGAAACGCTCATTTCTCAAAAAGTAAAGGGAATCTAGCGGTCTCACTCGATCAGAAGGTGGGAAATATATAAATCTAGTAAGCTAATAAGGTTCGAAAGGAATCTAATGCATATATATATGGAAAATGGTGCATTGGCCAGGTCGGTCAGTATGGGAACTTCGAGTGCAAATGCCAGGGAGAAAGGAAGCGCTCAGATCTCGCATAGTACACGGAATCTAGTGGTCTCACTCAAATAGAAGGAAGGAAATAAATTCATCTAGTGAACGTAAGGGTTTGAAAGGTAACTAACGCACATGTGTAGAGAAAATGGTGCATCGGCCAGTCTGGCCGGCATTTCGCACTTTTTTTTTTTAGCGACCCCTTGAGTCGCCCTTTCCCTCGTAGCCCCGCCGTCCCTCAGACGCGGCCCCGCCACCCCTTCTGATCGCGGCCCCGCCGCCACGTAGCGGCCCCGCCGCCCGATCGCGGCCCCGCCGCCAGCTACGCAGCGGCCCCGCCACCTGCTCGACGCGGCCCTGCCGCCTGCTCTGACGCGGCCCTGCCACCTACTCTAACGCGGCCCCGCCGCCCGCTACGACGCGGCCCCGCCGCCTTCTCTGACGCGGCCCCGCCGCCACCTCTTACGCGGCCCCGCTGCCTCATCTGACGCGGCCCCGCTGCCACCTCTGACGCGGCCCCGCCGCCTGATCTGACGCGGCCCCGCCGCCACCTCTGACGCGGCCCCGCCGCCTGCTCTGACGCGGCCTCGCCGCCCGCTACGACGCGGCCCAGCCGCCGACTACGACACGGCCCCGCCGCCCGCTACGCCGCCGGCCCCGCCGCCCGCTACGCCGCCGGCCCCACCGCCTGCTCAGCCGCGGTTCCGCCGCCCTCTCTGCCGGCCCCGCCGCTCCACCAGCCGCGGCCCCGCCGTCCCCGCCGCTGCACCTGCCGGCCCTGCTACTTCGGCCCCGCTGCCCCTGATCTCGCGGCCCCGCCACCCTACCTGCAGCAGCCGAGCCGCCCACCTGCAGCAGCTGAGCAGCAGTGCAGCCGAGCCGCCCTGCCGCCGAGCCGCCCGGGAGCCGAGTCGCCCTGCACCCGAGCCGCCCTGCCGCCGAGCCGCCCGGGAGCCGAGCCGCCCTGCACCAGAGCTGCCCTGCCGCCGAGCCGCCCGGGAGCCAAGCCGCCCTGCACCCGAGCCGCCCTTCCGCCGAGCCGCCCGGGAGCCGAGCCGCCCTGCACCAGAGCTGCCGTGCCGCCGAGCCGCCCGGGAGCCGAGCCGCCCAGCAGCCGAGCCGCCCTTCTGCAGAGTTGCCCGGCCTGCCCTGCCTGGTGAGCACAGTCCCACTGTCACTGCGTGCTCTTCCCCTACTGCTTGCACTGCTTCGCTGTCGTCGTCATGGCTACCCCTAGTGTCCTGGCTTTTGACGCTGAGGGTCGCGCCATTGACTTTGAGGTCTGGGTAGACGACCTGCAGTTGTTTTTACAGTGCGATAGGGCAGACGGCCTCTCTCTCTTTGACCTTACCTCTGGCGCCTCTCCTGCTCCTGCTGCTGATGCTGATCCCACTGTGCGCTCTCAGTGGGCCACCCGCGATGCTGCTGCACGTCTTGCTGTGCGTCGCCACCTCCCTACCTCTGAGCGCGCGCACTTTAGTCAGTACAAGAGTGCTCAGACCTTGTACGACGCTGTAGTTGCGCGCTACTCCTCCCCTTCCACTGCTGCACTGAGCCGTCTCATGCTTCCCTACCTCTTTCCTGACCTCTCTGCCTTTCCCACTGTCGCTGACCTCATTACGCACCTCCGCACTAGTGACACTCGCTACCGCGCCGCCCTTCCTGCTGAGTTCTGCGCTAAGAACCCCCCCCCCCCCCCATGTACATCACTCTCTACTACGTAGTCGCACGCCTCCCTGACTCCCTTCGCGTAGTCAGGGACCACTTTCTCGCAGTCTGTCCCACCACCCTCACCGTCGACGTCCTCGAGAAGGCCCTCCTCGCAGCGGAGAAGAGCATAGTCGCTGTAGGAGCTTCTCGTGGAGACCCTCGCACCCCCATCTTTGAGGGGTGCTCTCCTTCCCCCTTGCTGCCCTCTGTTGCCTCTGCTGCTGCTGCCGACCTGCTTGGTCTTGAGTCGGTCGGCGCGGCGTCTGCCCCTAGTGGGAGACGTCGCTCTGGCAAGGGCAAGGGGGGCAAGGGCGCGGGTGGAGCTGGAGGGGGCGGTGGCGGTGGCGGCGGAGGCGGCGGAGGGAGTGGGGGTGGCGGCGGGAGTAGTGGCGGGGGTGGTGGTGGCGGTGGCAGCAGCAGCGGAGGCGGCGGTGGTGGTGGCAGCGGTGGTGGTGGTGGCAGCGGCGGAGGTGGAGGCGGCGGAGGAGGCAGCGGAGGAGGCGGTGGTGGTGGAGAAGGTGGAGCTGGTCGGGGTGGTACCCAGCAGCGGAGCGGCGGTGGTGGTGGCCAGCGCTCGCAGCAGCAGCAGCAGCAGCGTTCGCAGGACATCCCTCCGCCTCAGCAGCTTCGTGAGTGGTACACTCAGCGTCAGAGGGGTGGGGGTACTGGTCCTTGCACCTACGTCCTTCGTTCCGGCGACCGCGCGGGTGAGCAGTGTGGGGGTGCCCACCCCACCCAGCGCTGCTTTGGCCGCCTGACGGACGCTTGGCGTCAGCAGTTCTCCGGGGCTAGTGAGATCCCTCGCTGGGATGAGCTTCTTAGGGCTGGTGTAGCGATCTTTGATCTTGATTTTGATGCTATCCTTGCTGCTATGTATGCTGTGACTATTAGTGAGGAGACTGAGGGTTACCGGTGTTTCCAGCCCGACCTGGGCATTGGTATTGCTGCGCTAGGTGCTTGTGAGGCTGCTGCTCTAGGTGCCAGTGCGTCTGCGCTCTCAGGTACTGGTGAGACTGCGCCCTCAGGTACTACGTCGCCCTCGTCCTCCCTTACTTTCACACTTGACTCTGGGGCTTCTCGCTCCTTCTTTCGAGACCGCACCACCCTTACGCCGCTTGGCCGGCCGGTTGCCGTCTCCCTGGCTGACCCCTCTGGGGGTCCTGTCCTCTCTCACTTCTCCACTGTCCTCCCGTGTCCGGCTGCCCCTTCGGGCACCCTGTCTGGTCTGTACCTTCCCTCGTTCTCTACGAACTTGGTGAGTGGCGCGGACCTGCAGGATGTGGGGGTTCACCAGTTCACTCCTGCGAGTCAGCGGGTGACCCACTGCACGGAGGCACGCACAGGCCGACACCTGGCCACGTTCTCGCGTCGGCCGGGGTCGAGTCTCTACACCCTGACCACTTCGTCTCCTCCTGTCCCTGCGTCTGGTCAGGTGGCTGCGTCAGGTCAAATGCTTGCTGCTGCGTCCCGGTCAGGTCCTGAGTCTGCCCCCTGTTCTTGTCGCCTCCTGTCTCACGAGACTCTCCTGTGGCACCACCGTCTTGGCCACCCCTCCTTGCCCCGTCTTCGGAGCATGGCTTCCCGTGTCCTTGTCTCTGGTCTTCCCCAGTCTCTCCCTCCCCTTCCCTCCGGGCCAGGACCTTCCTGTGTCCCCTGTGTCGAGGGTCGCCTCCGGGCTACTCCTCACTCCTCCCAGTTCCCCCCGACCGAGGCTCCTGTGCAGACGCTTCACATGGACGTGTGGGGCCCAGCCCCCGTCCGTGGGCAGGGTCACGAGCGCTACTTTCTGTTGGTGGTTGACGACTACTCGCGTTACACCACAGTCCTCCCCTTGCGCAGCAAGGGTGCTGTCACTGAGGTGCTGATCGACTGGATCCGCGAGGCTCGTCTCCAGCTCAGGAAGAGCTTCGGCTCGGACTTTCCTGTTCTGCGTCTGCACTCGGACAGAGGCGGAGAGTTCTTCTCGCGCCTTCTGCGAGACTACTGTCGTGCACGGGGGATCCGCCAGACCTTCACGCTTCCGGACTCTCCACAGCAAAATGGGATTGCTGAGCGCCGCATTGGCATGGTCATGGATGTCGCTCGTACGTCCATGATGCATGCGGCTGCCCCCCATTTTTTGTGGCCGTTTGCGGTGAGGTACGCGGCGCATCAGCTCAACCTTCACCCCCGGGTCTCTTGGCCCGCGATGTCCCCAGTCTTGCTGTGGACGGGGAAGGTTGGCGATGCGTCGACGTTCCGTGTCTGGGGATCTCGGGCGTTTGTCCGCGACTTGTCTGCGGACAAGCTGACCCCTCGTGCTGCTCCCTGTGTCTTCCTTGGCTTCCCCACTGACGCTCCAGGGTGGCAGTTTTACCACCCCTCCTCTCGTCGTGTTCTGTCCTCCCAGGACGTCACGTTCGACGAGTCAGTCCCCTTCTACCGCCTCTTCCCCTACCGCACTCCTTCCCTCCCCCCTCCGCCGGACTTCCTTGTGCCGGTTCCCCCCCCGGTAGACCCCCTCCCCCCTCAGGTTCCTGCCCCCTCAGGTGTGTCCCAGGTAGACGCAGTTGACCCGGTCGAGGTTACTGGTGACTCTGGTGCTGCTGCGGGTGCTGAGCCTGGGGGTGCTGACTCTGGGGGTGCTGTGCGCGGGGGTGCCGGGCCTGGATGTCTCCTACTGGGGGTGCTGAGCCTGGGGGTGCTGGGCCTGGGGATACTACTGCGGAGGGTGCTGCGCCGGGGGTGCTGAGTCTGGAGCTGCTGAGCCTGGGGGTGCTGAGCCTGGGGTTTCTCCTGCTGCTGCGTCTCGACGGGAGCCCCTCTCTCCCCAGGAGCTGCGCGAGTGGTTTGCTCGCCGCTGGAGGCGTGCTGCTGGAGCTGGAGCTTCTTCGACCGTTGAGGGTGCTGGTGCTGCCGGTCCCGGAGCTGCTGGGCCTGCGGGTCCTCCTGGAGCTGGAGCTGCTGAGGGTGTTGGTGCTGAGACCACTGCTGTCTGTCCTCTCGGTGGTTCTGCTGCTGGTACTGCTGGAGGTCCTGCCGCTGGAGGTGTTGGTGGCGCTGGTACTGTCGCTGAGGGTGCTGGTGCTGTCCCTGCTGAGTCTGGAGCTGCCGCGCGGCCTCGGCCGTACTTCGTTCCGCTCCTGCAGCAGGTTCTTGGTCTTTCTCCTCCGGTAGAGGGTCAACAGCCTGTCCAGTCGTAGTCACTCTTGGAGCCTTCCTCTCCTCTGCCTGCTCCCTCTCCTTACACTGGTCCTACTGGAGGTCTTACTGAGCGTCGTGAGCCTGCGTCTCGTCCCGCGTCGCCTGTTCGTGCTGCTCGCGCTAGTGGTCGCGGTTCGCGTCAGCGTCCTCCTCCTGTCCCTGGCACGCACCGGATGTCTCTGCGTCCGTCCACTGCTCCTCTGCGTGCCCCTTTGCCTTCTCCGCCTGAGTCCTCTCTTCCTGCGCTTGCCGACCCTGAGTCGGACTCTCTTCGTGCTGCCAGTCCTACTGTCCCGCGTCTGCTTGCTACTGTCGTCACTGACCCCTCGTTTGAGTCCACTGCTGCGTCTGCTCTTGTCGCTGAGCTCGTCGACTTTGCTGCTCGCTGTCGTCTAGACTACGCTGCTAGTCTTGTTGCTGAGACTGCGTCTGTCTGTCCTCCGTCCGTCGGGGGTGAGTGTGCTCTTGGCACGGACGTCCTAGAGGACAGGCAGGAGGAATTACAGTGTCTGGCTGCTGCTTCACCTCATCTCGCGTCTGTACTGCTTGCTCCTGAGGGAGACCCGGATGCACTAGACATCCCGACTCCGCGCTCTTACGCGGAGGCCGTAGAGGGTCCCTACTCCTCTAAGTGGCAGGCAGCTATGGATGCAGAGATGGCTTCCTGGAAGTCCACAGGCACCTACGTTGACGCAGTTCCCCCTCCTGGGGCGAACATCGTCAGTGGCATGTGGATCTTCCGGGTGAAGCGGCCGCCGGGCTCTCCACCTGTCTTCAAGGCGCGGTACGTTGCTCGTGGCTTCAGCCAGCGGCAGGGAGTTGACTACTTTCAGACCTTCTCTCCCACCCCGAAGATGACCACTCTTCGGGTGCTGCTGCACATAGCCGCTCAGCGCGACTACGAGCATCACTCTCTCGACTTCAGCACTGCGTTCCTGCAGGGTAGCCTGCTCGAGGAGATCTGGCTGCGCCGTCCACCTGGCTTCACTGGGACTTTCCCTCCTGGCACCCAGTGGAGCCTCCGACGGCCAGTCTACGGTCTCCGCCAGGCACCGCGTGAGTGGCACGACACACTGAGGACTACGCTTGCGGCTCTTGGGTTTGCTCCTTCTACTGCTGACCCAACGCTGTTTCTGCGCACCGACACTTCTCTGCCGCCGTTCTACATCCTCGTCTACGTCGACGACTTGGTCTTTGCCACAGCGGACACTGCTGGACTCGCCTACGTGAAGTCCGAGCTGCTGAAGAGACACACGTGCACAGACCTGGGTGAACTGCGCAGCTACCTTGGCTTGCAGATCACTCGGGACAGAGCACGCCGCACCATTACCTTGACTCAGTCACACATGGTGCAGCAGGTCCTTCAGCGCTTCGGCTTCACGTACTCCTCGCCTCAGGCCACTCCTCTGTCTACTCGTCAATGGCTCTCAGCTCTGCCTTCGGATGAGTCCGTAGAGTCGAGTGGCCCGTACCCAGAGCTTGTTGGCTGCCTCATGTACCTGATGACCTGCACACGACCTGACCTTGCATACCCTCTGAGCATTCTTGCACGCTATGTTGCTCCTGGGAGACACCGACCAGAGCACATGGCTGCAGCGAAGAGGGTGTTGCGCTACCTGTGCAGTACGTCGGGCATGGGGCTAGTGCTTGGAGGGCTGAGTCCAGTGGTCCTTACAGGGCACGCGGACGCTTCTTGGGCTGACGACCAGGCTACGCAGCGGTCGTCACAGGGTTACACCTTCAGTCTTGGTTCCGGCTCTGTCTCGTGGCGGTCTACTCGCTCGTCTTCGGTTCTCAGCTCCAGTTGTGAGGCTGAGATCTACGCTGGGGCCATGGCTGCACAGGAGCTTCGCTGGCTCACCTACCTGCTGACTGACCTTGGAGAGCCGCCTCGTTCTCCTCCAGTGCTGTACGTAGACAACAAGGCCATGCTGGCCTTGTGTCGAGAGCAGCGCTTGGAGCACAGAACGAAGCACATTGCTCTCCGCTACTTCCTTGCTCGTGAGCTGCAGCAGCGTGGTCAGTTGCGACTTGCGTACGTGGCCTCTGAGGCCAACACTGCTGATGTGTTCACCAAGGCACTCGCGCCTTGTGACCATCAGCGCTTCTGCACCCAGCTGGGTCTTGTGCCTGTCTTGCCTCACTTGCTCTCTTCTTGACTTTACTTGTTCTGTGACATATATATACCTGCTCCTACTTGTCTAGTTTTATATATATGTCTGTACTCCTGCATGTGAACTGGCCTCTTGCCCTGCTCTTGTGCTCGGACAGTGTGGTGACTTTGTGATCCACCCTGAGCTTGCTTTGCTTTGCTTTGGTTGACTAGTCTTGTGACCCCTTGTTCTCCCCCACTTTGCCTATGGGGGTGTGTCAGAGTATTATTGCTGATGCATGTTTGTAGGCTATAGTGGGGTAGCACATATGGGGTACAGCTTTCTAGGGTTGTATTTGTACCCAACTCTGACTTAGTCATTTCATTCCTGGTCATTTATTTCACATAGTACACGGAATCTAGTGGTCTCACTCAAATAGAAGGTAGGAAATAAATTCATCTAGTGAACGTAAGGGTTTGAAAGGTAACTAACGCACATGTGTAGAGAAAATGGTGCATCGGCCAGTCTGGCCGGCATTTCGCACTTATAGTGCAAGTAGGGCCAAGGAGAACGGAAACGCTCATTTCTCAAAAAGTAAAGGGAATCTAGCGGTCTCACTCGATCAGAAGGTGGGAAATAAATCTAGTGAGCTAATAAGGTTCGAAAGGAATCTAATGCATATGTATATGGAAAATGGTGCATTGGCCAGGTCGGTCAGTATGGGAACTTAGAGTGCAAATGCCAGGGAGAACGGAAGTGCTTAGATCTCGCATAGTACACGGAATCTAGTGGTCTCACTCAAATAGAAGGTAGGAAATAAATTCATCTAGTGAACGTAAGGGTTTGAAAGGTAACTAACGCACATGTGTAGAGAAAATGGTGCATCGGCCAGTCTGGCCGGCATTTCGCACTTATAGTGCAAGTAGGGCCAAGGAGAACGGAAACACTCATTTCTCAAAAAGTAAAGGGAATCTAGCGGTCTCACTCGATCATAAGGTGGGAAATATATAAATCTAGTGAGCTAATAAGGTTCGAAAGGAATCTAATGCATGTGTATATGGAAAATGGTGCATTGGCCAGGTCGGTCAGTATGGGAACTTAGAGTGCAAATGCCAGGGAGAACGGAAGCGCTCAGATCTCGCATAGTACACGGAATCTAGTGGTCTCACTCAAATAGAAGGTAGGAAATAAATTCATCTAGTGAACGTAAGGGTTTGAAAGGTAACTAACGGACATGTGTAGAGAAAATGGTGCGTCGGCCAGTCTGGCCGGCATTTCGCACTTATAGTGCAAGTAGGGCCAAGGAGAACGGAAACGCTCATTTCTCAAAAAGTAAAGGGAATCTAGCGGTCTCACTCGATCAGAAGGTGGGAAATATATAAATCTAGTGAGCTAATAAGGTTCGAAAGGAATCTAATGCATATGTATATGGAAAATGTTGCATTGGCCAGGTCGGTCAGTATGGGAACTTAGAGTGCAAATGCCAGGGAGAACGGAAGTGCTCAGATCTCGCATAGTAGACGGAATCTAGTGGTCTCACTCAAATAGAAGGTAGGAAATAAATTCATCTAGTGAACGTAAGGGTTTGAAAGGTAACTAACGCACATGTGTAGAGAAAATGGTGCATCGGCCAGTCTGGCCGGCATTTCGCACTTATAGTGCAAGTAGGGCCAAGGAGAACGGAAACACTCATTTCTCAAAAAGTAAAGGGAATCTAGCGGTCTCACTCGATCATAAGGTGGGAAATATATAAATCTAGTGAGCTAATAAGGTTCGAAAGGAATCTAATGCATATGTATATGGAAAATGGTGCATTGGCCAGGTCGGTCAGTATGGGAACTTAGAGTGCAAATGCCAGGGAGAACGGAAGCGCTCAGATCTCGCATAGTACACGGAATCTAGTGGTCTCACTCAAATAGAAGGTAGGAAATAAATTCATCTAGTGAACGTAAGGGTTTGAAAGGTAACTAACGGACATGTGTAGAGAAAATGGTGCGTCGGCCAGTCTAGCCGGCATTTCGCACTTATAGTGCAAGTAGGGCCAAGGAGAACGGAAACGCTCATTTCTCAAAAAGTAAAGGGAATCTAGCGGTCTCACTCGATCAGAAGGTGGGAAATATATAAATCTAGTGAGCTAATAAGGTTCCAAAGGAATCTAATGCATATGTATATGGAAAATGGTGCATTGGCCAGGTCAGTCAGTATGGGAACTTAGAGTGCAAATGCCAGGGAGAACGGAAGTGCTCAGATCTCGCATAGTAGACGGAATCTAGTGGTCTCACTCAAATAGAAGGTAGGAAATAAATTCATCTAGTGAACGTAAGGGTTTGAAAGGTAACTAACGCACATGTGTAGAGAAAATGGTGCATCGGCCAGTCTGGCCGGCATTTCGCACTTATAGTGCAAGTAGGGCCAAGGAGAACGGAAACGCTCATTTCTCAAAAGGTAAAGGGAATCTAGCGGTCTCACTCGATCAGAAGGTGGGAAATATATAAATCTAGTGTGCTAATAAGGTTCGAAAGGAATCTAATGCATATGTATATGGAAAATGGTGCATTGGCCAGGTCGGTCAGTATGGGAACTTAAAATGCAAATGCCAGGGAGAACGGAAGCGCTCAGATCTCGCATAGTACACGGAATCTAGTGGTCTCACTCAAATAGAAGGTAGGAAATAAATTCATCTAGTGAACGTAAGGGTTTGAAAGGTAACTAACGCACATGTGTAGAGAAAATGGTGCATCGGCCAGTCTGGCCGGCATTTCGCACTTATCGTGCAAGTAGGGCCAAGGAGAATGGAAACGCTCATTTCTCAAAAATTAAAGGGAATCTAGCGGTCTCACTCGATCAGAAGGTGGGAAATATATAAATCTAGTGAGCTAATAAGGTTCGAAAGGAATCTAATGCATATGTATATGGAAAGTGGTGCATTGGCCAGGTCGGTCAGTATGGGAACTTAGAGTGCAAATGCTTGGGAGACAGAACCGCTCAGATCTCGCATAATACACGGAATCTAGTGGTCTCACTCAAATATAAGGTAGGAAATATATTCATCTAGTGAACGTAAGGGTTTGAAAGGTAACTAACGCACATGTGTAGAGAAAATGGTACATCGGCCAGTCTGGCCGGCATTTCGCACTTATAGTGCAAGTAGGGCCAAGGAGAACGGAAACGCTCATTTCTCAAAAAGTAAAGGGAATCTAGCAGTCTCACTCGATCAGAAGGTGGGAAATATATAAATCTAGTGAGCTTATAAGGTTCAAAAGGAATCTAATGCATATGTATATGGAAAGTGGTGCATTGGCCAGGTCGGTCAGTATGGGAACTTAGAGTGCAAATGCCTGGGAGAACGGAACCGCTCAGATCTCGCATAATACACGGAATCTAGTGGTCTCACTCAAATATAAGGTAGGAAATATATTCATCTAGTGAACGTAAGGGTTTGAAAGGTAACTAACGCACATGTGTAGAGAAAATGGTGCATCGGCCAGTCTGGCCGGCATTTCGCACTTATAGTGCAAGTAGGGCCAAGGAGAACGGAAACGCTCATTTCTCAAAAAGTAAAGGGAATCTAGCAGTCTCACTCGATCAGAAGGTGGGAAATATATAAATCTAGTGAGCTTATAAGGTTCAAAAGGAATCTAATGCATATGTATATGGAAAGTGGTGCATTGGCCAGGTCGGTCAGTATGGGAACTTAGAGTGCAAATGCCTGGGAGAACGGAACCGCTCAGATCTCGCATAATACACGGAATCTAGTGGTCTCACTCAAATATAAGGTAGGAAATATATTCATCTAGTGAACGTAAGGGTTTGAAAGGTAACTAATGCACATGTGTAGAGAAAATGGTGCATCGGCCAGTCTGGCCGGCATTTCGCACTCATAGTGCAGGTGGGGCCAGGTAGAACGGAAACGCTCGTTTCTCAAAAAGTAGAGGGAATCTAACGGTCTCACTCGATCAGAAGGTGGGAGATATATAAATCTAGTCAGCTAAAAAGGTTTGAAATGTATTCAACGCACATGTATAGAGAAAATGGTTTATTGGCCAGGTCGGTTAGTATCGGAACTTAAAATGCAAATGCCAGGGAGAACGGAAGCGCTCAGATCTCGCATAGTACACGGAATCAAGTGGTCTCACTCAAATAGAAAGTAGGAAATATATTCATCTAGTGAACGTAAGGGTTTGAAAGGTAACTAACACACATGTGTAGAGAAAATTGTGCATCGGCCAGTCTGGCCGGCATTTCGCACTTATCGTGCATCTAGGGCCAAGGAGAACGAAAACGCTCATTTCTCATAAAGTAGAGGGAATCTAGTGGTCTGACTCGATCAGAAGGTGGGAAATATATAAATCTAGTGAGCTAATAAGGTTCGAAAGGAATCTAATGCATATGTATATGGAAAATGGTGCATTGGCCAGGTCGGTCAGTATGGGAACTTTGAGTGCAAATGCTAGGGAGAACGGAAGCGCTCAGATCTCGCATAGTACACGGAATCTAGTGGTCTCACTCAAATAGAAGGTAGGAAATAAATTCATATAGTGAACGTAAGGGTTCGAAAGGTAACTAACGCACGTGTGTAGAGAAAATGGTGCATCGGCCAGTCTGGCCGGCATTTCGCACTTATAGTGCAAGTAGGGCCAAGGAGAACGGAAACGCTAATTTCTCAAAAAGTAAAGGGAATCTAGCGGTCTCACTCGATTAGAAGGTGGGAAATATATAAATCTAGTGAGTTTATAAGGTTCGAAAGGAATCTAATGCATATGTATATGGAAAATGGTGCATTGGCCATGTCGGTCAGTATGGGAACTTAGAGTGCAAATGCCTGGAAGAACAGAACCGCTCAGATCTCGCATAATACACGGAATCTAGTGGTCTCACTCAAATAAAGGTAGGAAATATATTCATATAGTGAACGTAAGGGTTTGAAAGGTAACTAACGCACATGTGTAGAGAAAATTGTGCATCGGCCAGTCTGGCCGGCATTTCGCACTTATAGTGCAAGTAGGGCCAAGGAGAACGGAAACGCTCATTTCTCAAAAAGTAAAGGGAATCTAGCCGGATCACTC